TTGGAAAACCTACATTTTGTAACTTATATTGTGCATGTACAACAAAATGTCAGACTGTGAATATTTAGAAACTGCATGAGAATTTTTTTGCTTTATTTATACAACCGAGTTAAAACAAAATGGCTGCCATTTCCCACTTTCTTGCAGAAATCTATATCATTTTTGGCCGTGCTTTATTAGCCAATCAAATTACTCCAAAATGCGGGCTTTATATCTATATTACTTTTCGGCCCGGGGCCGAAAAAGTGATTTAGATATTGGCCCTGTTTTCAGGCAGGTTATCGTGTTATTAAACGTGGCAGGTGCTTTTTATAGGATTATAAATATACTAGGATAATAAACGGTCTTATAACCTGTCAGAAATATTTATAACGAATTTATAATACAGCAAGAATCGTTTTGTAAGACAAATGAGATTTCTTCATAAATCGGCAGCAAAACAAAAAATGTTACCCAGCAAATATCATCTGTGGCGATCTTAGGTTATCAAATGAATATCACTTTAGATGGTGCATTATCTCTCATGAACAGACGAAATCACATCGAGTCTATAATTTTCATGTAATGTTGTCTCATTGATTTCGAGTCGTCACATGTCAGCGTCAAAAGAATCTATTTTACGTATTTGATTCATTTGTCTATGCTGAAAAAAAAATCATGCGGATGTTGAAAATATTCATTTAAACCACCTGTATGTGCGTCATTGGCAAGGTGCATGCGAAATCAGACAAACATATTATTATTGGCCTGGTTGCACTGTTTGCCTGTTTATTTTATGGTGAATGTCGGGCGGCGGGCGTTCAGGCGGTTCGTAACAGTTTTCTCAGCAACTACTTATCACGGCCTCTTGATATTTGACATACAGCATTGAAACGTGGTCCCATACCTTGGGATTCTATTTCAGATCTGTTGCTTATATCCACTTCCTGTTTACCGACTTGGTTAAATTTTCGACAATAATGGTAAATGGTATGAAATTTCTCGTAACAGTTTTCTCAGCAACTACTTATCACAGCCTCTTGATATTTGCGATACAGCATTGATACGTGGTCCCATACCGTGGGATTTGATTTCAGGTATGTTGCTTATCCACTTCCTGTTTACCGACTTAGATAAATTTTCGACATTAATGGTCAATGGAAGGAAATTTTCGTAACAGATTTCTCAGTAACTACTTATCACAGCCTCTTGATATTTGCCATACAGCATTGATACGTGGTCCCATACCGTGGGATTTGATTTCAGGTATGTTGCTTATCCACTTCCTGTTTACCGACTTAGTTGAATTTTCGACATTAATGGTCAATGGAAGGAAATTTTCGTAACAGTTTTCTCAGCAACTTCTTATCACAGCCTCTTGATATTTGGCATACAGCATTGACACATGGTCCTCTACCGTGGTATTCGATTTCAAGTCTATTTCTTATCCACATCCTTTTTTCCGACTCAGTTAAATTTTCGACATTGATCAGTGGCAAATTTTTTTCGTAACATCACAGCATCATGATATTTGGTAAACAAATGCAACCCGGCCTTTTCTGTCTTTGGCCCATTTTTAATAAATAGTGAAGTTTCGCTTTAATTAACGTAATAACCAATTAAGTAATTAATAGGTAAATGTTTGTTTTGAACACATTTCACGCGTTTGACTTCTTAAAAACGAGTGTTGAACAGAGACCAAATAGTCGGAAAAAAGGAAACACATTTAGGAAAGTTAAAATGATCAAACAATAAGAACAAAGATCACATGGTCAGAATAAAGTCAACACAGTTGAGAAAAGGACAAGCACGCCTTTGAAAGAGTTAAAAATGACAACCCAAGTTGGAGAAAGGTCACACAGTATTGAACTAAGAACACACAATTGGAAGTGTTGAAAAGGCTATAAATACAATGTACCATCAAATAAAACAAAATCCACAGAATAAAAACAAAAGTCACGCGGTTGGAAAAAATTAAAAAGACGGAACAAAGGGCGTGTTGGATAAAAGACCGCGTGACTGGACCAAAACCAACACACAAGTAACAGGGTAATGGGTTTTTTTAGATAGGAACAGTCCGCACCAAGGAAGAAACATTAGTCAGTTAAAACAAAAAACACCTTTGGACAGTTTGGTAGACTGCTCAGTATGAACAAAGTGCCTCACAGTTGAAAAAAATCAGTGGCAAATATAACAAATATAACAGAAATCAACAATTATTATAAATTAATGTCTAGATAGTGGAATTAATTGATTCTTTAAAACAAAAATCCCGTTAGATTGAAACATTCTACATTCCGGGAAAATTATCAGAAGATCTAAATCAGTGGCAATGGGACAGAGCAAAATATAATTCAATTAAGTTTACAGAACAGAATACATCAAATAATATATGATCATATTTGGCAAATTCTGAAATGGTGGATTGGAAATTTTCAAAATTAGCCTAAAGGTTGATTTTTTGTGTATGTATCACCTGGGGTGTTTTTTTTTTTCTTCTTTTATTACAAATCGAACACAAATGTTCCATACTTTCATGATAATAATTAATCCCATGGCTTTTACATTCTAAATATGAATGCCTCATTTAAAAAAAAAGAAATGGAATTGCTCTGTCTAAACTATGTACAAATGAAATTAATAAAAGATTTTTAATGGAAACTCTAGATCATAAAGGGAATAATTTGACACAAAAATATTCACAACAAAACCAACATAGTGCGTTTGCGACCTGCATGGATCCAGATCAGCCTGGGCATCCGCGCAGTCTGATCAGGATCCATGCTGTTTCTCCACTTGTATTAGGGTTTGTAAGCGAACAGCATGGATTCTGATCAGACTTCGCGGATGCGCAGGCTGGTCGTCTAGATCCATGCTGGTCGCAAACGCACTATTGTTTTTGTCATGACGCGGCTCATTTATTTAATTAACCTTCTAGCACTATAAATAGATAGAGCAATTGTATATTGTCCCTTATGATTAAAAAATTCTGACATTTGATATAAAGTACTGCTATATAAAAAATATCTAAATCATTTATAACTTCAATGACAATTTGCAAGAAGGAAAATACTCCAAAATGGCTTTAACTTGCAATATTAATGATGGAGTCTCTATTCCCAATCGTTGATTCTTGACATTGAAAATAGAATTAGAAAATGGAAATCCTTAAAGAACCCCAAAAAGGCAAAATTGAAAGGTTTGTTTGAACCATATTCATTGACGGCTGTGTTGATTTCACGCCTTGTTTTATATATTATCACCCTTAGGATGGTGACAGCCTTATAAATTTATCTTTTAATAGTTGTCTTTGCTTCTTTACCTCTAACCTCTTCACAAGATTCCGTTCTATATTGTTCCGCCCATTGCTTTAACATGCATAGCATGCACAATCTGGAACTTAAGAACCATCCGTTGTCTTTCATTGAATTGCATGAACATGTCTACTTCAAAATTTTAAGATCGGTGCAGTTTGAATATATTTGCGCTAAATAACACAATTTTCAAATGAAAAATTTCATCATGGACTTAGGATTCATTCATTCATGAGGAAGTTATCTGGCTACATAACGGGAGGTCGGTGGTTATATTTGGTGCCCGGTCGTGCTGAAAGTCTGGGACAGAATAACAACTGAAGTTACTAAATGTCTTGTACAGTGTTGGGCCAACTTAAAATCCAACAAAATAAACAAACCATAATATTTTTCAGACCGCTCAGGAGAGTGTCAAATAATGAAATTCCGGAGCAGCTTGCCTTCCATTTTGCAGTGAAAATTAATTGCCTATGGCACTGCGTTTTACAGTTTCGCCATAAGAAAACAAATAAGGAAATTCTACAACAATATGCTTTTTCTACCTTTTATTTTCAAAGTATAGCAAAATTTGACAAAACACAGGCCACTGTAACAGCTGCCACTATATATTTTTCCTCACTGCATAGCACAATGGCAACTTTTACTTATCCAAATTTCCTGTCTAGTTCAAGAACTTATTGATATCATCAACCAAAAGGATGTAGTATATTCAGACTGCAAAATGCTAAGGCTGGCCCGGCTCTACATGAATATAGGTGGCAAAATTTATTATCTTTCAAGGGCAAATGGCTTGCAATATAGGTTCCTTTAAATTTGTAGCATATGATAAAAGCATAAAGAGTATCATAGCAATCAGTTTCACAATGTCACATGTACTTAATGAAAATAAAATTTTCTCAGAATGCACGGATTAACACCACTGTATCTTATTTTCAGCAAAAAAGATAAACGATCAGCTATCTTTGTATGTTGAAAGAGACTTTGATTTACATGTCAATACAGCACAAATACAAATTCAAAGCTGGATAAATAATGGTAATATATCAAACAAATAACCAAAAGCAAGCTAAGCAATCTTCTCATTTATTGAAATGTAGTTATTTTTTAATGTTAACCTTCGCAAAAAAAATGATAACTGTAATTATTTTCAATAAAAGATTATGTTTTCCATCACGAGTAATCTTTATTCTCTATTTTTCTTAAATAAACAATATATAATGCCCTTAAATTCAGATATATATATAAAGAATGCAAGTTATCTGAATAAATAAAGTACAACTTTTGGCTACAATACATTTAGCATGGACAAGTTTTGGCTACAATATACAGCATGGAAAAATTTCAAAAACTTCAATACTAACACTTTACCTGCTGGAGCTGAAAGTAATCAACCTTTGACATCAGTATAGAGCCAGGTATAGAGCCAGGTCGGCATGCACTAACATGCAGTCTGACAAGGGCCTATACTGTTCATTCCTCATTTTCTCTACTTTGATATTGACATCCCTTAAATATTCAACACAAAATTCACAGCTAGGAAAGCCCATTAGATTAAAAACATATATATCATTAGAATCAACAAATATCACCAACCCATATAACAGTGACAGGAGCAACATACAAAATGCCTTGTTAAACATGCCAAAAAATATGCACTTGAACAGACTGGACCTTTTTCATTCTAATTTTTTAAGACTGCCTATAAAAATTTCACTATTATAGGCTAAAAAGAATTCTAGAGGAAAAGACTAAATTCAAGCTTTCCATTTAAAAAGAAAAAAACTAGGTTGTTTTAATCATTTTAGTACAAGTATTTCAGATACATCAATTTATTTCAGGCATTGTATTTTGCTATTTTGAAATAATACTATAATCTTTATTGATTATACATGTATATGTACATTGTACATCAAATTATATGTGTTCTGTTGGCATACTTATTTTATTTACATACTTTGAACTTACAGTAATGTTCCCTTGGTAAGTCCTGTATGACAATCTTGACTGTACAATCCAATAAATCAATTTATTTACATATTACAAGCACTGCCATGTAATATTATATGTATTAAACCTTCAATAACAACACTGGTATGTAATAAATCTTATGTAACCAACTTCTCACAAATATAAACATATAAAGCACCATCTTCAAAGTTATCTGCGTCTTTAAGTTTAAGACATGATTGTATTTACATGTTTACAGGTGTTCATACCTTTAAATAATGTCAATCCAATTTCCATGTTTGACATTAAGTAATAGAGTTCAACTATTGCTTTTCAGTACAACACTTTCCATTCATGTAATGGAATCTATGGAATCTAAGATTTCTAACACAGCCCCCTCACCCACCCCTTTCAACTGCATTGCACATTATATTCTTTTTCTTCAATTCTTACATACATATAGTTAAGTTACACAACTGTAGTCTGTATCAATCAGTTTTCTTATATGCTACCATTGTATCTACTTTGTGTATTGTTGTTGTGAAAGATCGTAAGCGAACTTCTTCAGAGTTATTCACAAACTGCGGCCCAGACTCGCCCCAGGAATCAGGGACCTCTAGATCTTTGTCGGTATATACCAGCAAATCAAAACTACCTGTCAAATAAAATTGATAAAATACTTGTATTAATTTCCAATCCTCAAGAAACATTAATTTTACATCGCCAATTTATAGAATAAAAAAAAGATATTTGAGCCGCGTCATGACAAAACCAACATAATGGATTTGCGACCAGCATGGATCCAGACCAGCCTGCGCATCTGCGCAGTCTGATCAGGATCCATGCTGTTCGCTTACCAACTTTATTACAAGTGGAGAAACTGACAGTGAACAGCATGGATCCTGATCAGACTGCGCGGATGCACAGGCTGGTCTGGGTCCATGCTGGTTGCAAACCCATTATGTTGGTTTTGTCATGACACGGCTCATTTACACTGGACATGTTCAAGATTCATGATTTCAGTTAATATATCTAAAATTCTATTGTCTAATTTTTCTCTTTTTTATCAGTGTTGTAAATTTTAGCTGGTTTTAATCTATTTGTAATAACCCCTAAATGACAACAATATGTTTATTACTAATATACTTGTACACTATGATATCTACTAAGATTCTACTTGTATCATTGAAGAACAGCAAGCCTTAAAACATGAAATTTACCAGTGTTCCCACTTGTATTTTTCATTGGGGGTATTTCTACCCCTTACCTTTGAAAACTGGGGGTAAAATAAAAATTCAGGTAGTACATAAATTTGAACAATAATTATATGAAATTTAAGGATAATTCCAAAACCATACATCAGGCAATTATGCTGTTTTCTTCAAGATTCACTCCACACCCCCCCCCCTTTAGGTAAAATTCATTGTGACCAACACATACTGGCATATATCTCCATCTCAATAAATATAACCATTATTTATGTTATCTTAATTCATAAACAGCATATTTTACGTGAAATAATGGGCATTATCATAGTTATAAATCGATTCATGCCTATAATTTCAGGAAAGTCATTAACAAGAATCCAAAGTCTCAAACAATACTTCAGTTGGTTCAATTAGAGAACAAGGTGGTACAAAAACTTAATCCAAGTATGATGCCTTCTTGGATGCAGACAATCATTTGAGTACAATAACTCTCCCCATTCTTTTAGGAAATAGATAACAATGTAGAAAACATTGTTGTAGAATAATACAGAACTTGAGCTCAAATGCTCAGGAATGCCTGAGTAATAAATTCAAAAGCATTTGAAAGATAAACCATGCATTATTATTCTATAATGCAAGAAAAATTACTATCAAGTTCCATTCTTACATGCTAATAAAAAGAGAACTGATAAAATTTTGTTGAATGTCATTGAACGTCAAAGAAATTTTCGCTATATTATAAATTGACCTCATATGACAATCATCATGATGTGTAAAGAAATTCGTTTTTCATGCTATGCATATATTGTGTAATAATTCACTTGATTGCCTACAAATGCAAAATAGGGGGAAAATAAAATCATTTCTTCTTTAAAAAAGTGAAATATTTGACATAAAACATACAAGGTTCTTCTATGAGTGGTAGAAAGGTTACAGATGCCGTAATCTGTCTAATAACTGCTCTAATTTCTCCAGTCACTTCTTTCTCTGACTTTTCACGAGGTTTACTAAAAAATATACATAAAAAGTAAAGTATTTAAATAATTAAATATAGCATTAAACCACATATTGTTTCAATCTTTAGACAGTACAATGTTTAATCCTATCTGCATACAGTTCAGTGAAAAGTTCTAAAAACTTTCACACTAACTATGTTGCCTAGCTGCGATGGTTTTATAAAAGAAACATTTTAAATTCCAGTCTTGTACATAAAATAGTTTTTGCTTTTAACTCCTAGCTTAATCCTTTAAATTACTTACCAGTATTATGTATGTATGCATTACATGAGCAAGTACTTGTATGTGGAAAATGGTCAATTTATTTATAAGAACCACAAAGATTCAATGGCTAACAGTTTATCATTGACATCCACAAAACAAATTAAAACCTTAACATACACAACTCGGCTAGCTAACAGAAGGGAGTGCTTCCACTTGGGAGCTTGTTTTGGCCCTAAAAATGCATTCAAGGTCTTCTTCCACCTGAAAGTCGCCCAATGACTTTTTATTTTTGATCTGATTTAAACTCAACACAAACAATAACATTTATTACATGCTTTTCTAAGGTTTACAGAAATGTATGGGTAATATATAAAATGTGATATTTTTCACTGTTTTGAATTTAAGCCCATTACGTTGAAATACCGGCATGCACAGGAAACAAACATAATGATGTTGACGTCATGAATAACGTTATGTTGTATTATTACTTGGCAAGCTTTTCATTTAGTATTAGGTTAAAATGTCTTTTTAAACATTTTTTTGCATATAATAAAAAGATATAATTTGTTTAGTTTAGTGTAAGATCGAAAATATATTTCACTTTGTGAACCCCAAAAGTTCATATTTCATTTGTGGCTGCGCCACTCAAGAAATTTACCTTTACCGGCTCAGTCGGTGAAATTTATTCCAATCTTACACTGAACTAAACAAATACCCTCTATACATTGGCATGTGCTCGGACAAACAAGTACAAATGATATCAGACAAGTGTATTAGATAATTAAAATAAACCTCTGCTCGGAGATTAATGACCAACTTCTCTAAAATAAACTTTTTATAAAGGCTAGTTTAACAAAATTTTTCCACCTTTTAAGGATATAATAAACACATACCTATCAGTTAATGCAGTTTTATCACACTCCACATCAAACTGCCAGCGTTCTAACACTTCATTTGTGTTCAGACTTTTTATTACTACCACCAGCTTGTTTACTGTCATATTTAAAAGCCATTCTGTAACAATAAAAAGAATTACACTACATTTAAATGTATATGCATAAACCTTATTCAGGCATAAAACGTATATAAGGAACACCACTGATGATCCAAAAGCCTAAAACATAAAATTTAAATTCCTTACATACATGTACATCAGCTTGGACACTTTAAACAGAAAGATAAAAAAAAAAAATATTTAAGAAATCAGAAATAAATGGAAATTCGTATTTTTGTGCTATTCATAGCCCCGATTTGAGTGAAAAGCATTGCAACACTTTTCAGTTTTGCGTCATTTTTCACAATTATAATAATGATTCTGGAAAAACAGAGTGAACAAATATTCTGAAATTTTGCACACTAGTTATTCGTCTACATTTTCATAAAATATGGAACATTATTCCCGAAAAATTGTTTTATATCCAAAAACCATAGTGGAGTCCCTTTTAGGCTGTGTATTGCTGGCCAGATGGCTATCTCATCCACGATTTAAGACCCAATGCTTCATGAATAGAACCAGGAATCACCTTACTGTCATGGACTGAATTGCTAATATCTAAGTACAGTATCATTAAAGCTCTGTTTTCAACCACAAGTATAATTAGTTATCAGCTAATTAACTCACTGAACTGTGATTTAAATTAAAAATTTTGTTGGTTTTTCTGCTTTTTATTCCAATTTTAACACATTCTTGACTTTTTTGAAAGATGTCGAACCATCTATGACAACAGATAATTTAAATACATAAGCATCGTTCTGATCTTCCTTAGTTTTAGGAGAAATAATTCTGCAGTGGCAAAATGATTTTTTTTTTCGAAATGATTTAATCAAAACAATAACTTACCTTTTATTTGTGAAATAACTTCAGATAGATATTTTTTAATTGCATCATCTGTGCTGATAAGAAGGGTTAGTCCATACTTTTGTACTCTGGTAAATGTTTCTGGTGGGTATATACCTCGCTGATACAAAATACTGTTGATACCATAATCTGAAATCACATGAATTGCAGGTGGTCATTAATCAAATTTCAATGATTGCATCAGACTTCCTGAAATACGTCGGTCCGTCGGACATGTCCGATAAACTTTGATTAGGTACGATGATTTTTTATTCCGGATCGGTCTGACTGTCCGGCTTTTATCCAAGTTGCATGTATATAAAATGGCCTTGCTAAAGGTGCCAAACCTGGGAAAAAACGAAAATCTACGTCAGAGGAGCGCACAGAACAGCAGTAAAAGGATGAAAAGAATAGACCTGAGACAAAATTTAATGAAAAATGGAAGCAGGACCGTGAATCGTTGGTGTATGACACTGAGGGAGGAGATGAAAATGCACAGTATGGACTGTGCCGATTTTTACGGCGAAAAAATTAAAACCGAAAATTGTGTAAGAAATACAAACACAAGTTTTCCTTTGATTTTAATTAATTCTATCCGGTCTGACAGATTTCGTTTCGGTCCGACAGATTTTCATGGTTTGTCAGACCAAATGTCTGACACTTTTTTTTAACTTTCAGGAAGTCTTTTGCGTCAATCATAATTATCACCTGATAAATCAGTATCCTAATTGATTGGTAATAATATCGGGTGATGATAATTTAAGAAAACATCTTTCCATGTTTGTGAATAAGTCCATAATATTATATTAATTATGTGGTCATTGATTTTCCTGCTTATATACCAGACTCCGATAAAAATCCTCTTCCCAAATGAAATTTTCTTTAAAATCATGTAGTTTTCCCAAAAAACTGAACTTATACCTGCTTTTTTACTTCCCAAATTAACAATTTTAATGATAATTTTCCCCAAAATCAAGTGGCTAAGCCCTCTTCCCAATTAAGTGGGAAAATTCACTGGTGGTTCCAACAATAGAGCGATAAAACAAACCAATATATTAAATATTGAAAAGTGGGCAGAGTTGACCCCTGCCAAGTTGGAATAGGTCTGAGCTGACTCAGAGGCTGAGTACGTTTTAGGTCAGTGATTATTCTCACTTAATTGGGAAGAGGCCTTAGCCTCTTGATTTTGGGGAAAATTATTGCTAAACTTGCTGATTTGGGAAGTAAAGTTCAGATTTTTGGGTAAAGTTAAGATTTTTGGGAAAACTGCATGAATTTTAAAGAAAATTTCAATGTTGTTTACGATTACACTAAGCAGGCGCATTGTCTTGGAATACTGGATACTGCATAGAGTGACCTAGTCCTATAACATAAGACGTTTTCGTTCGTACTAGGTACACTCCAACATCTTATCGACTTCTTCATAAGTTGCTTTAGCAAAATGCGCTCACATGTATACAGGTAATATGGCCGAAAGTATATAGCGGTGAAAGTGGTATAAATTGTTTTGGATTGGATTTATTTACATTCAAAGGCGAGTCATTTATTTTTTTGGCTGCACATTGATGCAAAAATGTTTAAATTTTCTGTCTGCATATCTTTTGACTCAAAATATTGTTTTTGAAGATCTAGTAAATTATGAGGGTTTATATAGCGCCTCAAAATCAATGCGCGTTTTGCGAAGAAGTCGATAAGACGTTGGGAGTGTACGTAGTACGAACAGAAACGTCTTATGTTATAGGACTAAGAGTGACCCAATATTTTAAACCTGCAACTTGACTATTTAAGCCACTAGATGGCGCTGGGGCAGATTTTCATGGTATTTTTGACATGCTTCACATCTAACAGCCCTTTTTTGAAATAGTAAAATAACCAAGAAGTATTTTGCCTAAAAACTTTTTGTATAACTTCTTTGCAACATTTGAAATAAAATGGCAGAGAAAATATCACAAAAGATTCACTAAAATGTATACTTTGTGAAGTTAACTGTCAAAAATTTGAAAATCCCGGGGCGGAGTAAATGGGGTCATGAACTGCAGGTTGTAAACAAATACACATGGCAGTGTTAACTTTCCAGTAGAAACTTGAAATTTTACTCTAGGAAGGGAGCTGCTGATCAGTAATTGTCTGCTATAGTGTTTGTTTACATCAGCTAAATTTAGCACAGGTACAGCGTCCTTTGCATGATTTATCTGATAAACACGCCTACAAAATTCTCCCTACCAGGGCAGGGATTTTTGCGGCTTTAACTGCCTATGAATTTCCAAAATGTCATCAGCAGCATTTTGAATATCTGGCAATTTGACGCCATTGTGACTGTCATTGTAAGTGGGTCCCGATCTAAGAGACACATATGTACCTGCAAGGCCGTCGTCGATGGTCCGGCCGGTCCGGCCTTGGCCGGACCAATATTCTGGCCAAAAATGATAAAAAAACAAAACAAAAAAAAACGCATCGCTGATTAGCGATATGACACTTAACTAGCCCCTTATGCAAATTGCCAGGTACATGTCGGTGTCCCCCAAAGTCAAGTGTGAAATTATTTTAATTGGCATTAATTGACATCGACGTGGCTTCCGACAGTTCACCGTATATATATGTTTATTCAAAATAGTAACATCACAATTCTTAAATTTTACCTCTGTTCACATTAGAGTTTCTTAATCGGACAAAAATCATAATCGATCATCAAAAATAATCGAACAACCTTTTTCGATCAATCATTGATTATATAATCGAAACATTTGCAATAACAAAGTAAATAAGTACAATGCATATATCATGCTTTAATTTTTATAAGAATTCCATTAATATTCTATATTTTGTGTAACTACCACTTAATCAATTGAAATAAACTAGTTACTCATGCTTATGTTCATCCTTGAGTAAAAAATTTTAATCAAATAAAATCATTATATCTATGAAATTATTATGTCTCAATTCCAATAAAGGAATGAATAAGCTATGTATGGGAACAAGAGAAGTTGGTCATTAACAAAAATGCCAGTTTTTTTTAATGACACTATATATTGATATTGTAACCATCTTTAGTGTGTAGAATAATTTTATACATATCTTCTTTGTGTGAAGTCAAAACATGTTTATTTCATATTTACAAATAGACTGTGTAGCAATTTTCTAATTTCAAATTTGAGCATAGTATGTCTTTAAACTAGAATGCCTCACTGTCAACTATTAACCTCATGGTCACCAGTATGCTTTCTCATTCATTTTAATGAAAATTATTGGGTAAACCAAAGCTGGCTTTAATTTAAAGTGTTGTTATAATACAGTGAGTCACTTAAGTAACAGCAAGAAGATAAATAACCGATGATCGATTATTGAACTTTGTATTCGATCATCGCTAATCGGTCCTATAAACGATCAATTATCGATTATACTCGATCATCGTTTAATCCCTAGTTCACATACAAGTATCTTAATATGAATAGTTTAAGATAGTAAAATATCATGATGTTTGACACAATTCCATCGGAACCAAATCAACCAAAATCATTTTCGTTTCCGAAACGAACATTTGGTGAGTACATTTTTTCATCAATGTTATGTATATTATGATATAGCAAGAAAAAGAAAAAAAGTGCATGAGATTTGCAATATGCATTATGAGTATCTCAAACTAGTATGCCTGAATTCTCCGAGAACTTGATATCATTGTTTTCGCAACTCTGTGAAATAAATTCAGTAATAAACTCATTCAATTTACTCTTTAACATAACGAAATTAAACTCAAGTTAAAAGGGGAACGCTTCCATATGAGGATAAATTAAATTGAATAAAGACATATATCATTTCAGACTCATATATTTGAGACTCATTTCACAATCATATTTCTACTTTCTAAATATTTACTAACGGAAAAAGGAACATTTTATTAAGATAAATCATATCAATTTATTGGTATATTTGTCATACTGCTTACTATTAAGAACATATTCTAAATTTTCATACATTAAAATATGTGTTTCTTTTAATGTAGGAAAAAAAGCTCCCGTTCAGAGATCTTTCCAAAGCAGTTGGTTCAACACCCGAAAATGGCTGCATTACGACGAGTCCCGTGACCTTGCGTTCTGTTACGTGTGCATAGTAGCTAAACGAGATGGTAAGCTACAATCTTCCAAAGCGGACAAAGCGTTCCTCGAGTCAGGATTTTCTAACTGGAAAGACGGGACCGCGGCATTCAAGACCCATGAATCTTCTGGATGTCACAAAGAAGCGGTGGAGCGCGTTATCACCTTGCCGAAGGTTACCAAGGACGTTGGTGAAATGTTGTCCGAGTCCCATGCTAGTGAAAAAGTAAACAACCGAGAGTGTTTGTTAAAGATCCTATCCTCAATCAGATTCATAGCGCGCCAGGGATTAGCGTTACGTGGTGATAATGATGGAAGTGATAGCAATTATATTCAGCTACTTAAACTCAGGGGTGAAGATGATTCAAATATTCTAGAATGGATTAAACGCAAGAATGACAAATATACATGTGCAGGATCCCAAAATGAAATGTTGAAAATTATGGCCTTATCTATCCTGCGAGACGTCGCAATGAATATAAAGAACAGTCTGTGCAGCTAGTCTCAAAAGTGTGATTGATAACTACACTGTGCTACAGGACCTATGGGACGAGTGTAACGCTAAGGACTCCGAGACCAGGGCGCGAATACTTGGTGTTTCTGCTCAGATGAGGACTTTTGAGTACTTTTTCGGTGTTATGCTCGCACACAACATCCTAGCATTGACAGACAACCTCAGCAAATCTCTTCAACAAGTTTCATTGTCAGCATCCGAGGGCCAGCGGCTAGCAAAGCGGACTCTAGATAGCTTGATAGACATGAGGTCAGGCGACATTTTTGATTCTTTTTGGATTAAAGTTCAAAGTGAGAGTGATCGAGTCGATGTTAACGATCCAAATGTTCCCCGGAAGAGGAAGGCGCCCACACGATTCGAGATTGGGAACGGTGTTGGCTACCACCCCGTTACAGTGCAAGATGTGTTCCGCCCTAAGTACTTTGAAGCAATCGATCTTGCCATGGCCAGTGTTCAAGAGAGATTTGACCAACCGGGATATCGCGTACTTCAGAACGTGGAGGATTTACTTATTAAGGCCGCACAACCTTTGAAGACCGAGTACACTAGAGAACTTGGTTTTGTTTGTGATTTCTATGGAAATGATATTAACCGAGATATCTTAGAGGTGCAGCTTCAGCTGCTACGTTCACATTTTGATAGTGCTATTACTCTACCTGATGTTTTGAAATGTGTGTCAGAACAGTCGGTGCTAGAACATGCACTGTTCTCTGAGGTCGTTGTGTTGCTTAAGATTTTGTTAGTAATGCCTGCTTCTAATGCTACCAGTGAAAGGTCATTCTCGGCGCTCAGAAGAATAAAGACATACCTGAGATCGACAATGTCTCAAGTACGCTTGAACAATCTTATGGTGTTACATATTCATAAGTACAGGACAGATTCACTCAACTTACGTGTAATTGCCGATGAGTTCATTACCACTAGAGAACGACGGCGGTGTGTTTTTGGGAAATTTACATAGAATGAGACTCTTTGTTGTGTAAGATGATTGTGAACAAAATACAAGTTACTGCTAAACAAACGGTGGTTATTGTTGACTCATAATGTGCTATTCTTCCATCATGTCATCGATTGTTATTTAAGCTTATACCATTGTGTGATTTATGTTAAACAATAGTCCTAGTACTATAATATTTCTTGTATTTGTTTATTTATAATTATCAGATAAAATACATATAAAGAATTATAACAACATCAGTTATTGTTTGCTTTTCATTTGCCAAATATCAATTACATGTATTCATCATTTATGTACACCTATCCGTCCTTCACGACGCACTTAAATCTGTAAAAAATCGTTAACATATTACTATAATTTGTACTAACGGCAGACTATAAACTGTGCCAAATATACGGGAAAACGGCCCTGAGAGCATCCTAGAATAAAAAAATTTCCGGGGGAGCATGCCACCGTACCCCCCCTAGAATCTGGCTAAAACCAACCAAATTGGCCGCACCAATCACAAAATCGTGACGACGGGCCTGACCTGTCTCTTTGTCCACGTGTAGTAATGAAAAACTAAAAACTTCAATCGTCATGACATTCATGATGATGATTCACAAGATTATTTCTCTTATGACATCTGTTCACACTAGATCTATGTTATAATCAAGTGCCATTTATAAATTTACCGAAAAATTCAGCAACTGTTTCCGTGGAACCTTTAAGAGTTATTGCGTTCTTGGCAGCTGTTGCTGCCATCCTGGTGTTGCGTTTTAGGTCAAAAAAATATTTTTTAATTTCCCGCAAAAATTAAGCCGGCGGTGTCCTTGAAAATTGAATTAGTCGTAAGTACTAAAATACGGTTATAAACGTCTAAATGTTGGGCAGGTATATTCCGCGGAAAATCCCGCGGAAAACCCGGAAAAGATAAAACCGTCTGCTATGTCATGATGATTGTGTACATGTATCTTATACCAAATCTGATGTTTCAAGATCACAAAAAAAAAATGTTTAAGCATACTGGTCGGGGACCATCAACCGGACACTTTTTGAACATTTTTCGATACAGATTTCATAATTTTTTACCTAGAGATAAGAAAGATTGACACAGTTCAGCTAGGTTCTTCTCCTAACTAACAAACTAGTTTGTTTATTTCTGATTGTATTGACACTTATATCTGAGGCTTGACAAAGAGGGTATCAAAAGTACCTAAATTGTATACACTACTGTACCATGTGTCCGGACAGATATGTACATGACGTGATTTAATTCAGATAAAAGCTTGGGTGTTTTGATTTTTGATTTTTACATGATATACAATATTTCAGCAACAAATGCTGAAGTTTTGAATATTCCATTGTTTACTCTGCAAATGATTATAGCTGGTATATGAGGTCAGGCATTGCTTTCTTGACCCCCACATTTCAACGTCAACATTCTTGAAATAGTCATTTAAATATTACCATTTACGGAGGTTGAAATAAATTGATTTACTTAATTTTAGATGAAACATACATTTATTGTTAATAAAAAGTGACAGACAACCACTGAACAAAGAATATACTAAATTAAGCATTTTCAGGGCCGTCCGGGTTTGGTGGTTGTCCGGTTTTGGTAGTCCCCAACCAGTAACCATTATTTACAGTTTTTATTGTCTCTTATTGAAATTAAAATATAATCCTTTCGTTAGATATTTTGCATTGGTATTTAGATATTTTGCATTGATATAATTATCACTCGTTTTTGTCAATTGTAAAATTTTAGAAGAGCGTTAATTTCAAGATTTTCAAAAATCCTTATATGATTTACAAATGGATACTGTATAGAACTATTTTATCTAGGACATAAAAAGATCATTTTCCCCAATATTTTAAATTTTCTACCTCTGAACACTGACCAATATTATACAATTATTGACTAGTGAATATTAAATATGATGTGATTTTCACCGGCAGATGACATATTGACCGAGGCGATAGCCGAGGTCAATATCACTTTCTGCCGGTGAATATCACATCATATTCAATGGCTCACTAGTCAATAATTGTTTTATTATATGAATAGGCTAAGAATTTTTTTTTAAATCACAAAAAGTACAACCTTACATACATGTACAAATTTTGCCTCGTTGAAGCGCGGGAAAAAAGACGCACGTGTTAGGCGTGCAACGACTACTCGAACGCTGTGCATTCAAAAGTAATTCAAATATATACTCACCATTGCGTTATAGCCTTTAAGTATAATAGTAAAGTAATGATATTTTAATCGAGAAATATGCCATAAAGAAAAAAACGCAACTATTATTTTTTAACAGACAGGCGTAATTAATAATCTACGGTGTATGGTCATTAAATACGAGTCTCAATCTATTTTTATACTGGGAAAATCCAATTTAGCCAGTGAATATGATACTGCACTCAGTGAATATGATTTTATAAAAAGTTCTGTTGACTACTGTTTGGACCAATGAGATTGCAGCTATATTTAGATCATATGATAAAGTGGATTATTCAAAGAATCTTCCTATTGCATCCGTTATCTAAAAATATATGGCTTTCTATATTTTTTGAGCATTCTGTTGTGATATACGTGAATGACAGAAGATAACGATTTCATACGACTCATTTATTTCATTTTAAACATTAAGATATATAAAATCAAGTAAATAAAACAAGTTATGAAACTCGCAAGGCATACGGTGTTCCGTTCGACCCTCGACCACATATTTACCAGTAAACTTACATACAATAAATATCGACACAAAGGACTCGTCGTTTATAGATGATGTACAATGTACAAATCTTAATAAAGTATTTGTTCTGTTCTGTTCCTATATAGATATCTGATATATATCAGATATTCTGCTGACTTATGGTACGCTGTTTTGATAAAATATATACTTAATATACATGTATTTCAGAAAGGGGGAAATTATGGCATGATATATACATATTGCGCCACGTAGCCTTACATCGGCTTTGGATATTCTATCTTTAAAAGTGTCTTTTCTGTTTGAATTAGACACCGTCAAAAATGCCAAATACAATATATTTGACAAACACGTCAAAAAGTGTCGACAACCATGTTTGATATAAATAATTTCAGCGGCCCAACATATTCTAGTATTTTTAGTGGCTGTTCATTTTGATAGTGAAGGTCATTCTATTGAAGAATCGTTTTCTTCCTATTGATATTGTACATAATGCTCAACATGAATTGACTGCCTAAATTACCTATATTTTCCTAATTATTGTACATTTTTACAATATTATTATTTGTACAATAGGTAAACCTTTTTTTTTCTAATTCAGAAATTTTGTATAAAACCAAATATATATATATATATATATATATATAATATATATATATATATATATATATATATATATATATATATATATATATATATATATATATATATATATATATATATATATATATATTATATATATTTGGTTTTATACAAAATTTCTGAATTAGAAAAAAAAAGGTTTACCTATCGTTGATCTATATTTATATTTATGTACTGTACCCTAAAAATTTCACGTTATCGTTCTTATTCTTTAAGTAATATTCAACGATAACTTTTGCTCAATACTTTGTATAAATTTTCTTATTCTGTTATGATAAGGAAAACTTACTCAAAAAGCCAGTCGATACAATCCCTCCTAAAAACTTAAATGCATTATCATCATATACATGTATTTCTTCACAAAGATATTCGTAAAAGATAACTTTTAAACGTTATAACTTATATCAAGGATATTTAATTACTTCAGTCGAGCAAAAATCAGTAGCTTTTAAATTGCATTAAATTACTTCCGTAAATTTATAAACGAACAAAATTTACAAGGGGGAAATAGACTCTATAGTTTCAACTTTTAGAATATCTAAATCATTTTTGCGATCTTGAAACATTGGATTTGGTATAAGATACATGTACAAACTATTTCTTGGCATTTTGTTTCCTGGCTCGTAATTTACTGTAACTTATAATGAACCTAGCTTGTACTAAATTATCACAGTGCTCATATTTATAAAAAAAAATACGAGGGCTGTTCAAATTGTAATAGGACTAACAGTCTTGCGTTTTCATATTCCATTAAATTTCATATATTTTCCATAAAATATTATGTACAGCGATCATAAATTGTTTTCTGCAATTTGGGCATTGGTTGAATACAGTATTTGATATTGAATAACCATGGTTACATAATTATTTAATTCAATTTTTCCAGTAATGTCCCTTTTGAATGTTTGTATTAAAATGCTTGTTTGAAAGAAATGTTTTGAACTATAAGAATATGAATAATTCCAAAAAGTACCACAATGCTTTATTTTGTATTATCAACTCTTGAAAATGACCTAAAGAGAAAAGTTCCCTTTCAGGGGCAAAAACTCTTAAATCAGGATGGTGACCCCATTTATTTTGTCATAATTTTTCTTTCAATTATCAAATTCTGTGATAGAAATTCTCTGCTCTATATAGTTTCAGAACCAGATTCCATAAGAAAAATTGATGTTGATATATTAATAATAAAGAAAGTGTACCCAGATCAATATGTACGAAAATATAGCTTGCTATAGCTAATAAGACTTTCTGGGAGAAAAAGAATTTTCAAAGGCTACCAATCATCATCATCATCATCATCATCATCTTCAGTAATCGCCTCACTCTTCATAGAGCATAATCGCAATGTTTAACAATATATGATTGTACATTGTATCATAGATCTATATTTAGCTCCATGGTTGTATTGGGTATATTTTTGCTCGATTAATATTAAATAACATGTGGAATATACATGTATACAGTACGAAAGTGACTTATAAAATATTTAATATAGCGTAATCATTTTTTATAATTATTTCAGATGGTAGAAGCACCATGTAGATTCTATTTTTTCATTAATGAATAATGTATTTTTTTGGAAATTATCATTATAAATAAAACTGAATAATTATTATTATTGTATTATATTCACTTATATAACGTCTGCAAACTGCAATATTAATGTAAAATTCTGTTTTAATTAAAAGCTAATTCAATCATTTATAAGTCACTTTCGTATTGTTCACAGATGACGAAAGGAAGATCTCTGAACTTGTACATAGAAATTATGCAATTAAATGGAGATAAAATCATCGTAATAATTATTTTTGAAAATAATTATTATTTATTTATTATGATATACGTCTACTATCTGCAATATTGATTAAACGCTGTAGATCTATTTAATATTTTTAAAGTCACTTTCGTCAAAAAAAGTTACTTTCGTATTTTAATCATAACCTATTCCACTTTCTGGTTTGTTGTATTCAAGCGTGCCTATTTGGTTGAAAATTGGAACATGGAAAGCAAAGAGGCCTAAATTATCATAGTATATTCAATAAATAGCGTGGATTGGAGACAGTCATGTTTTGCGATCCGTCGGAGGAGTTCCTAGTAAGTGATCTTTCAGCATATTATAATGTAAAGTGGTTGAACTGCAATATTTAACTATTTGATATTTAGAAAGTGAACATGACATTTTGCATTCGTTCCAAATTATTTCGTACCCATTAGAGGGTTTTAGAAGAAAACAAAAACAATTTTTCTCTGTTAAATGAAAAAAAAGGTTTAGATAAAATAATTTTTTCCTATTTACTTATATCACTAAAAGGTCACTTAGCAGCCGTAACACTACATGGAGATTTGCAAGGACTAGTCCAATAGATTAGACGTTACAGGCTTGTTAAAGTTTTATGTTGGTCAAGCCTGACGTCTAATAGTTATTGGTCAAAAACGCGTAGCATTTTGAAAAATTAAAAAAATGTCTGTTGACTTGCCTTTCAAGCTTTATTCAAAAGCTTATCTTCTGTTCTTTCAATTGCATGGTCTATCATTAACAAAAAAGTTTCAAACAATGTACTTATTAATTAAAAATAAAATATAAATATCAATCTATTTCGCTCATCGCCATACTGGTTTAGTAAAGCATTTTACAGATTGATTCCAATTTTTTGAACGGAAAAATATTTTCGAACACACTGACGGTGCATGGGCAATTATTTCGTTGAAAAAATATTCCGTTAGAAACTTCTGGGTCATTTAAACGCTTGCATTTGAATAAGCCAATCAGATTTCGCGCACTGTATGGCGGCCATTTGTATATCTGCTGTACATGGAATTTAATTAAATGAGAGGATTTAATCATGACTTTTCGGGTGTGACAGTTCAATTATTTTGTTGAAAGGTATTTAATTTTTAGTTTTGTTCATAAATAGTTCAAAATTTATGTAAATACACGCTGTTTTAATTGTTAAAATGCATTAGATCTAAATCGATGTCTAATGTCAATTTTTTTGCTACACGATTTTGCAAAGATCTGTTAAGACCTAACGTAACATGGAAAATGAAAAATGTAAAATATCAGATTAATGAATGATAAATATGAAATAGGTTACGTATAGGTCTTATAATTAGGACTATACAAGGACATGTTGTGGTTGTTCTAATCGTCCATCTTATCAATATCAAGATTCAACCTCTCAATTTTAAAGATTTTTATTAGATAAAGTGAAGTTACACAGAGCAACAGATAAGATGTATTTGTGTATTAATGCAATTAATTTTACAACATACGCAATTTGTTCTTTTAATTTAATATGCATATCAAAACCCATTTAAAAAAAGTAAGATACGCAATTAAAGATCCACAATTTCGTCTGTCTTCTGCTTGTAGTTTTGGACAATAGTTTTATGCATGCTATCGGAATATTCCAAAATGTAATTTTGGGCTTCCTTAATGATTGTCTCTGGTCTTCACGGGAATGCCGAAGTCAAATCAATTAAGCACGAGACCGTCAATTTATAAAATACTCTACTCAAGTTGACAGTCTTTACAATTACAGACCGGTAGAGACAGTTGTTTTTGTGGAGACCACCATGCAAAAAACCTGTATCAATAGACGCTCTGAAAACAATATGGCGTCATACATACATTATAGGGAATAAAAGAAGATTTGGAACATAACAGTTCTAAATAACTAAAAATCCGCCAGAAAACGAAGTTGTTTAAATATTCTGGACGATGTTTATGTGTGACATTCTGAAATGTACACAAAAATCTGGCACATTGGCACATTTGGGTGATAGCATAAATGATAATAATGGACCATGAAATTTATATCTTTATGATTAAATACCCAGTCGATCTTAAAATCACAGGGTAACAGGTTTTAGAATACGCAATTAAATGGGCCAATACCCAGTTCCACATGAAATGATGGAGTAATACCCAATTTATTATCAAAGCTTTTTAATATCTGTTGCTCTTAAACTATTTTAATACAACTACAGATTTATTAGGATCCATGATATGACTAATACCTCAGTCACAAATGACTAACTGCTGCTGGGTCACTGGGTGGCGTCTATTTCTCAAAAAAATCGTAATATCGGCCTGTTTTGTCTGGTCACCATGATAAATTGGACGATTTATACAAAACTGGTCAACATGATAAATTGGACGATTTATGCACAGGCACTGGACAGTAATCATTTTGTCAAATGGCGAGCTCACCGCTTGAGTTTGTTGTAAAAGCTGCTTGAGTATTTTGTAGTTGTAAATGTATCTGTGAATTCCTTTAGATTTTACATGAACTTCATATTTGAACGTCTACTAGAGGTGTAACGATTCATTGATGCATTGATACATCGCGATCTGCCCTGTCCTTGATGTATGCATGGTAATGAATTTATAAATTCCAATGTATCAGGATGCAATACATATTTCACCTCCCGATGCATCAATATAGCGGGAAAGTATCGCAATACACTAATAGTTATGGTATAATGAAAAATACCTTTAATCCTTAAGTAAAAAGTAAAAATCCTTAAGTAATAAGTAATGTAAATTGTTGAAAGATCAAAACTTCAAAATAAGTTATAATAACAAGTTGAAGAGTTTATTGTTTTGTTATTGTAATAGTTTTTATATTACATTCGTAATTATGCTGTGAACAAAGACCAAGTTTTTTATATAGATAAAGTCTGAAAGTCAGTATTGTGATACGTATTGCATCGAAACATAAGAATTGCATTTTATCAAAGTATGCAATACATATCATGAATCGCATCGTTTAGAAATGCAAGTATCGTGATATGTATCGTGACAGAAAAAAATGGCAATGCACAGCCCTAACGTCTACGCTAATTATTTTTTGCTCACCTGGCCACAAGGCGTGGGTCGTCGTGCATCATCAACATTTGGGTTGTTAATACTCTAGCAGTCACGGTTTTGATTGGCCATAAACAAACTTTGTCAGAATGTTTGTCTCAATGAAATACAGGTCAAGATCAAATATGGGTCATCTCTAGGTCATACTGCCCAAATATGGAAAAACCTTGTTCATATTCTAATGGTAACATTTTGACTCAATTGTCATCACACTTGGTCAGGATGCTTGTCTAGCAGGGATCACGCTAGCCCTGAAATTTAGGGAGAAGTGACTTCCCTCCAGTGAAAATAGGGAGAAGTTTTTGTGGACAAGGAGAAGTGCATAAGAATTGCATTTTTAGCTCGACTATTCGAAGAATATGAGAGCTATTGTAGTCGCCCCGGCGTCAGCGTCCGCGTCGGCGTCTGCGTTGGTTAAAGTTTTTTGTAAAGTCAAATATCTCAATTATTACTTTAGATATTCAATTGAAACTTACAATACTTATTAATAGTAACAAGGTACATCAGATTGACAAGTTGGATAACTCTGCCTACAATATTGACAGAATTATGCCCCTTTTTAACTTAGAAATTTTGGTTAAAGTTTTTTGTAAAGTCAAATATCTCAATTATTTCTTGAGATATTCAATTGAAACTTACAATACTTATTTATAGTAACAAGGTACATCAGATTGACAAGTTGGATAACTCTGCCTACAATATTGACAGAATTACGCCCCTTTTTAACTTAGAAATTTTAGTTCAGTTTTTTGTAAAGTCAAATATCTCAATTATTACTTGAGATATTCAATTGAAACTTACAATACTTATTTATAGTAACAAGGTACATCATATTGACAAGTTGGATAACTCTGCCTACAATATTGACAGAATTATGCCCCTTTGGAACTTAGAAATTTTGGTTAAAGTTTTTTTGTAAAGTCAAATATATCTCAATTATTGCTTGAGATATTCAATTGAAATTTAAAATACTTTTTTATAGTAACAATGTACATCAGTTTGCAAAATTGCATAACTCTGCCTGCAATATTTGCAGAATTATTTGCCCCTTTGAAACTTAGAAATTTTGGTTAAAGGTTAAAGGTCTTCAAAGATATTTACTTAAAACTTTACACATGCACTTAGAGTCATAATTGGAGGTTCATAATTGTATGTCACTGACTCCATATGTTCCATAACTCTATCTTGCATTAAGGCTGATTCATATCCCCTTTTCTACTTAGTCTCTTGGTTAATGTTTACATGCAAGTTTTACATAATCTCAATAACTATTAAAGATATTTATTTAAAACTTCACATATGCATTTAAGGTCATAATTGTAGGTCACTGATAAAAATCCATAATTCTATCTTGCATTAAGGCTGATTTTTCTCCCCTTTTTCAACTTAGAAATTCATGGTAAAGTTTTGCTTGTAAGCTTTTATCTCAATAACTACTGAAGGGTTTGTGCCTTTTTTGGGACAATTTTATGCATTCATATTATTAAAGCAGTGATTTACTTGATAAAACATCTTAATAACAAGCCTTTGTACCTTTTCTGTCAAATTTATGTATTCATAGGTAATTAGTATTATTATACTCAATAAAACACCCTTGTGACATTACCTTCCGAATAGTCAAGCCAATACTGTATAATTAGACTCTCTCTAAGGCCAATAACATGAATTTATAAAAAAAAAATTAGCCCTTTTGTGAACTTAAAAAATTAAAACATTATCAAGTCTCTTTTACTATCAAGCACTTAGAATAGTCGAGCGTGCTGTCCTACCGACAGCTCTTGTTTGATGTTGATGTTCCATTTAATACTAAGTTTTAAGACTGACCAACATTAGGTGGAGTACATAACAGTTTATTAAGTAACTCATAACAATAAACAGCAAAATTACAAATGAGGCCGTCTTTTTTTATGCCCCCACTTTAAGGGTCATTTAGATTTACCCTTGTCCGTCCATCCGTTCTTCCTACCGTCCGTTCTCTTTTGTGTCAAAAGGAACTCAAAAAGTATTTGACCTAGAGTCATGAAACTTAATAGGAATGTTGATCAGCATGTGTAGTTGTGCACCTGGGTATTTTCATGTGGATTTATATAGTATTTTTAGAGTTAATGCCCTTGACTTAGTAAAATTTTGCAATTTCGCCTTGTGTCGCATGTAACTCAAAAAGGATTTGGCCTTGAGTCATGAAACTTTACAGGAATATTGATCAGCATGTGTAGTTGGGCAC